GATGTCTGTCCTCGGGACCCTAATGTGCACTCTTGGTCACTGAAACAAATTCAGAGCTATAAACAATTTACATTGTGCCTTGAATTAAAAATAAAAGGAGGAGGGAGATTTGGGCAGTATAAAGCCTTGTTCTCCAAGAAACCTCCGCCCAGCTCAGAAGGTCAGCCGTGGAGAGTATGGGTCTGTCACCTCTCACCACCTGCTGTGAGCAGGCCAGCCGATTCTCCGGGCCCTGGCTTCTGCCAAGTCAATGTGCTCAGCTTACTCCCGGTTCAGAGGGCGGCAGCTTCCTCTAACTCTTCTCACCATCAAGCCTGCTCCTCGGTCCTCCGTGAAGCCAGCTGCCTCACCTGCTCCTTGCAGCCCCATTGGCCTCGTGGGCACTGGAAGGAGACCAGTACCCACAAGTATCCTGCTTCCCAGAGGGCAGCTCGGCGGCTGGCAGCCCTGGTTCGTGCCAGTTTCTTGGGGCTCAGTAAACCCTTCAGTGTGTGGAGACAGGGAGGCGCACAGGAATGTCTGCCTGCGTCACCACCCAGCCGTTGCCGGCCAAGCCCCCACACCCCGCCTGGCAGCTGGGCCAGCCCTGCGCTGTGCTCTTGGCGAACCCCGCCACCCGGGGCAGGTAAAATCCAGGTCTCCACCCTCGTGCAGTTAGCACACGGTTGTGACGGCCCTGTTGCTGTGGCTGCAGTTAGTTCCAGCACCGGGGACTTCGTCTCTGTGTGTGTCCAAGGCTCCCTGGCAGCAGAGAGGGCTCTGTGTGCCCAGAGCTCATGCTGGCTGGGGCTGCTCATGAGGAGGACCGCAGCCGCTGTGGATGCTGGGAACCCCCTGGCCGCCTCTGCTGCCCTCTTTCCTCCCACGGTCTCTCTCTTCTCCCCCTCTTCTTCCTTGTCCCACCCCCTTTTCATCTCCCCTCTCTCCACCCCCCACCATCCCTTCTCTTCCACCCTGCCCTCCCCTGCACCTGGGCCCACACCGGGCTCTTGTCATCGGGATTCTGAGTGCTGGCTCCCTGCCCCCACATGCCACATTGTCCACCTCCCGGAGGTGTGTGCTCTGTCCTGGGCACACCTGGGTGGACAGAGGCATTGTTGGCTCCTGGCCTTTTGGGGAGCCCAGCTGTCCTCATTCTGCAAACCCTGGCTTAGCCCCTACACAGACAAAACAGCTCTCAAGGGGGGATCAGTGCCCACCTCCCTGTCCCCTCTCCTCCTCCCCCCAGCTCTGTTCTCAGTGAAGGAAGATGCCCACCCCCCGGTGGGAATGCTGACAACTGCTGCCATGTGGTGCAGATTGGACACCCCCCCTTCCCCCGCTCCCAGCAGTAACTCCCTGGTGGTTTAAGGAGGAGAAGGAGCGGCTCCTTGGCAGCCAGCCAGTCATTGCCACACACCGAGCTCTGCCAGCTGGGTCCGGAGCCCCGTGCCCACTTGCCGGAGGGCAGCATAAGGTTGCCTCCTGCTGCAGGTTGCCCAAGGAACCCACCCTCCAGCTTCACGGACCCCCAGAGCAGATAGCCCCGGGGGTGCTCCTTCCCTTTTCAGGGACCCAGTTTCACGCTCCACCAGGGCAGGAGTCTCCTCTGTACTATGTGAAGTAGCTGGCGCTGCCCTCGGTCCTGAGTGCCAGGGTGGCCGGCTTTCTCCACATGAGCCCAAGCCAGCCAGGAGCACGTATGTGCCAGCTGACAGGACACCTGTGTCACAACCTAGTCTTTGCCTCTGCTTCCTAAGAAGCCCCGGCCGGGAAGGGTGGGCTCATCCGTCCAGCATCCCCCTCTCTGGTTCCTCTCCATGGCTCTGGGGCCACAGCCCCTCTTTGTCCTCTGCCTCCAGCGACTTACCCTCCCCGCTTCCATGGCCAGGGCGGTGGACGGCCTCCGGTGGGGGTCGGGGTCCCTGCAGAGCCTGGGAGCTCTGCAACGAGAGCAGGGAGGAAGGTGAGGGAGCCCACCTCCTCTCCCACCACTCACCTTCCTGCCTCTTGATCCCTGACTCACTCTACACTCAGCGTCTGTCACCTCTCTGTGAAGCAGGCCCCTCCGCAGGAGCAGGAAGCCCGTCTGGCACGTGGCAGCAGAGAGGGGGACGTTAGGGCAGAGCTAGTGAGATTCTGCTCACAGCGCTGGTAGGTGAGACTCATCCTCTTCCTAAGCACCCCACCCCCACACCCCCAAGTTGGGTGCATGCTGCACCACAGGAGAATGCTTTCACCCAAAGTTCCCTCCACCTGTTCACGGCCCAAAAGACTTGACACCCATATCCAACTCCCTCCAAAAAAACCCAAACAAACTCACTGCCATCGATTCGATTCAGACTCACAGCGACCCTGTAGGACAGAGTGGGACTGCCCCTGCGGGTTTCTGAGACTGTAACTCATTACAGGAGTGCAAAGCCTTGTCTTTCTCCCCAGGAGCGGCTGGTGGTTTCAAACTGCTGACCTTGCAGTTAGCAGCTCACCGTGTTACCCTATGATGCCTGCCACCAGGGCTCCTCAAGCCCATTCCGGAGGCCTGGTGGCACAGTGGTTAAGGCTCACCCGCTGCCTGAAGAGTCGGCACTGGAACCCCTCAGCCACTGCACAGGAGGAAGGTGGGCGGTCTGCTTCCACAAGGATGACGGCCTGGGAAAACCAACGGGGCGTTTCACTCTGCCCTATAGGGTCTATGAGTCCCAGTCAACTTGATGGCATTGGGCTTAGAGCCCAGGTGGGGTCTGTGCTGGCATTCATGCCTTCTCAGGTTGGGGAGTGGGAGAGGATCTGGTTTGGGTTTTCTGCCCCCGCTCCTTATGGGCGCCCACCACCTTGCCTGTGGCGAGGATACTGTACAACTTTCAGAAGAACTTCCAGACCAAGACAGGCTAGGATCTCCTTCCAAAGATCAGCCAGTAAAAGCCCTACAAACCACGGCAGCTCAAGATGCAGCCGGTCACGGGATGAAGTGAGCCGAGCCGGCTTGCTGTGGTGTGCATGAGGCCGCCCTGCGTCAGGGTCCCCACCAGCCAGGAAAGGCTCCGCAGCACCTACCAAGAGCCCAGTGGGTGAGCAGTCCGTCACGATGGAAGGTGTTCATGTCAGGGGAGCTGTGTGTTTTAAGGGGGAACTCTGATGGCATAGCGTTTACATAGACTTCTACCTGCAAGGTCAGGAGTTCCAAGCCATCAGCTGCTCCGCTTGCAGGAGAGAAAGGAGGCAGAGAGATAAGAACAGATGAGCGGGTTTATAGAGAGGTAGGGGTGGGGCGTGGGAGGCGGGGAGGGTGAGGGGGTTGGGGGAGCAGACAATGTGTGTGGGAAGCGGGGGAGCACTCTCTAGAACAGATGGTGATTCCACAACTCATTTTACAAGTGCTTTGACCGTGTTCTAAGATTGACTGTGTTAAGGATTGTTCAACTCTTCTTGATGGGGCTGAACTATGAGTCATGCGATATGAGGATTAAGTGCCCATAAAACTGTTAAAAAGAAAGAGCGACCGTCTCAGAAACCTGCAGGGACAGCTCTCCCCTGCCCTAGAGGGTTGCCGGGAGTCAAAGTGGACTTGGTGGCAGTGAGCTTTGTTGCAGCTGCTTTCTGGTGCAAGTGCAAAGGACCGGGTCTTGCTTCTGCCTATCTTCACGTGGGCTTCTTGCTTTGCAGTGGGTTTGGGCCCCGCATGGCCCTTCCCACTCACAGAGAAGAGACCGCCCTTGTGCAGGCACTGTCAGGACCAGAGGTAGCCACCTGGCTGCTGTGTGGCCCCGGGGTGCGGGCTGGGGTGTCTGTCACCTGAGTTGCCCAGACACCACTTCTTCTGCAACTTGGGAACATGCGTCAAGGCGACCAGGTGAGGGAATGGTTCTTTCTGCTCTGGGAACAATGCCTCTTCCCCTTGGAGCATGGCCCTGTCAATGATTAGCCTCCATGGGAATCGCGGCAGGTAGCCACGTGCTTGCATTAGCTGGATCATGGGCCAGAGTGACCGGGCGGGAACCAGGGACAAGACATCCAAAACTCAACGACATTTAAAGGGACTGAGCCCAGAATTTGAAGCTGCCGGGACTTGACAACTTTTCGGCACCACTGTTTGGCATTTTGTGGGGTGGAGGGGGAGGAAGAGAGGGGGAGAGGAAAGGAAAGAAGCAGTTAATACAAACTTGAATGTGAAGGTGGTGGTCTGGAGGAGAGTGGGCGGGGAGGGGGGCTTTCCATCATGCATCTGTCTTGCCCGAATCTGTGTCATTATTGAATGGGTTAGGAGTCAGACACTTGGAGCGCCATGACACACTCACTGGAGGGAGGACTTCCCCTCAGACCCTGACCCACAGCGCTGAACCTTCCAGGGGCAGGGGCTGTCTGGAGAGGGAGATGAAGGATGCAGACAGGGCCAGTCAGCTTGTCTGGGGAGGAAAGAAGACTGCAGGGAGGGCTTCCTAGAGGAAAGGGCATTCACAAGGAGAATAAGAATTAGCCGGTTGAGGAGGGTGGGGGTGGGGACTGACCCAGAGACTAGGGAGAGCATGGCACGTCCACAGACATGCACGATGCATCATTTGGTTGGCGAGTCCAGTTCAGGGGTGCATGAGCTATGGCTGGAGAGACCGAGGAAGGCTCTCAGTCACCACAGTGACTTAAGGGGAAGAGGTAAGGCTGCCGTCGTCTCCAAGAAACTGGGAAAGCCAGGGAAACAGAGGCAAGTGGGAAGGGGGTCGGGGTGACTCCCGAACAGGAAGGCACCGCAGGACACAGCAGAGAGCACACCTTGGGTTAGGAACTTCTACTCTAGTCGGTGACCTTGAGCGAGTCACTGAAAAGCTGCAAAGGAAGAGGCAGCTTACTTAGGGTGTCAGAGTGCAACCAGAGCTGCCCATTGTGGAGAGTCAGTAAATCCCCGCTGAGCTACGTTGGGTGCCTGGGACAGGGCTTGGTCCCTGGGACAAGAATAGTACATTGTGCCAATGGGACGGTACATTCAGGGAGTCGAGCTCACGGATGCAAATGTGCTGCTAATGCAGAAATAACACGAGTGGATGGCTTTAATCAGAAATGTGTTCACTCAGGGTGAAAACACCGGGAGTCTGAACTCAGAGCGCTGGCTCCAGGGGAAGGCTTCCTCTCCCTGTGGGCTCTAGAGGAAAGTCCTCGTCTCCTCAGCGTCTGCTTCCTGGTTCCTCAGAGATCCCCAGGTGACTTGGCATCTACCTTCTTTCCCCATCTCTGCTCTCTGAATCAGCTCCTTTCTTATCTTGTAAGAGATTGAGTGACAGCGAAGCCTACGCAGAAGAAGCATATCAGCCTGTGTGATCCAAGGATTATATCTAACAAAAACAAAGATCAGAGGAGGGAAGTGTGTTAAAGCTTAAATTCTGAGCACCCGGTTGCAGAAAACTATCAATGACAATGAATGCCCTACATTCATTTGCAGTGAGACCCGTGGGGAATAAGCCTCAGATCGTTGACCAGGGATGTGAAAAGCCCTGACAGAGTTCATCAGAAAATGAATGGTTGCAGATACTGTTAGTTTAAAATGCACCGTCTTATCATTTTTTCCTTTTTAACTCTCCTCTTCATTTGTTCTATTTTTTATTATTTTCTGCTTTATTTTGGTTTGAAAAATATATATAACCAATGTCATTGAAGAAGTTGTTCGATAGAGAAATTGCTAAATGGAAACCTAATCTGCGGTGTAAACTTTCACTGAAGACACAATTCCCATTAACAATCACATCTCATTCACATCACAGAGACAGCCCATTCCCCAGTGAGACTCTCACTCCAGGCCTAGAGGTGAAGATTTAGGACACAGATTTGGGGAAGGGGCGATGCGGTTCAATCCATCTCATCCTGAGTGTCCACCCCAGGCAATTAGCCAAGGCCCTCTAGAGCAGTGGTTCTCAACCTTCCTAATGCCTCGACCCTTTAATACAATACAGTGCCTCATGTTGTGGTGACCCCATAAAATTATTTCGTTGCTACTTCATGACTGTAACTTTGCTACTGTTATGAATCAAGTGACCCCTGTGAAAGGGTCATTTGACCCCCAAAGGGGTCTAAACCCACAGGTTGAGAACCGCTGCTCTAGAGGGTTGTGTGAGAGGGGTTCTGATTGTACTGGCTCATCAGGGAAGACAGGTGATGCTCTGTCAACAACATCTCCCAGGGCTGCAAAATGGGGTCACTGCCATACACTCGACCCCTCCTTGTGATATCTGGTCTAAAAGCAAGATGACTTTCACCACAATTTATCTTCTGCCACAAATCAGGACTCCTCAGGTAGCCCTCCACAGGTGGTCGGCAGGTGGGAGTAGGTGGTCCTGTGAATGGGGTTGGGGGTGAGACAGGAAAGGTCAAGGCCAAGGAAAATAGGAACTCCTCTAATGCCGATGACAACTTGCTTTCCCATCATGCTTTCTGAGAGTTGTGGGGACAGAGAGGCATTGTCAGACCCAGGGAAGACGCAGTGGGCTGGGGGTGCTGAAGCACACTCAAGAGAATGGAAGTTGGAACCCCGAGTGGCGTAGCCTTTGGGCAGGAGGGTCTCTGCCCTCTTCCAACCCAGCCAAACACCAAGGTCTCCAAAGGGGACCCCACTTGTCTTAGTCTGGGTAGACTAGAGAAACAGATTCATTGACAGTCATGTGTGTATAAGAAAGAGTTTTACATAAAAGGGCAATTGAACATTGAGAAAACATCCCACCCCAGTCCAGATCAAGTCCATAAGTCTGATATTAGCCCATATGCCCAATACTAATCTATAAAGACCTCTTCAGACTCACGAAACACATGCAATGACGCTGAATGCAGGAAGATCACAGGTCAGTGGGTGGGAAGTCTTGTGGATCCAGTAGTGTTGTAAGCATCTCAGCGTTGGCATGGGTCTCCATGTGGCTCCTTCAGCTCCAGGGCTCTAGCGTAGCTCCGTATGTCTCCTTAACAGGAATGTCTCACAGGGAGTGTGTGTCCCGCCTCCAGCGAGTTATTTATCTCCTTAGCGCCTCCAAATGAGGTCATCAAGCTGACCTGATTGACAGACTGAACTCCACCCTTTCACTCTTAATATTCTAAAGTTGACAACAGATTATGTAACTACCACACCACTGGATGGAACACCTGGTCAGACCCACTCTGGTTAAAATGTGAGTGTATCGCAATCCCTGGTCTCCTTCCTTAACAAAGAGCCAATGAAGGGAGGGAGGGCTTCCCCTTGTCCCTAAACAAGTCAACTATTGCAGGAGTCCTCAGGCAGCCGCGGGGTTTCAGCTGGGCACGCACACACACCCTCAGAGCTTCAGGCTGCCTCCGTGGCAACCAGAACCCCAGGCTTCCCCCCAGCTGCTCCCCTTCCCCTGCGTCACCCCATGTGGGGACGTGTGGGCATGGAGCTCCAGTGAGACAGCCAGGAATTCTCTCAGGGCTATTTTCGTCTGTCAGGAGGCCGCTGAGGTGTCTGTTCTCCCTGGCTGGTTACGTAATTGTGGGAAAAGCAGAGCCCAAACCCAGAGCGCCTCAAATGTGCTCGTCAGGGGCAGAGGTGACCCACAGGGGCTGACAGTCCCTCTCCTCGTTGGTGTCTCGGCTCTGTGCCCCACTTGGGGTGATGGAGGCGCAGGGGGCCCCCTCCAGTTCCCCACGTAGCAGCACGCCCACAAGCATGCACGTTCTCTAGGAAACCCAGGGCTTGTGAAGCAAGCCGGGTGGTGGGTGGCATGGCTCCCTGGACAGAGCATGGGAGTGTGTCCCTTCAACCACGCCAGGGACCTTAAGGTGTCTGTGGTAACTGTAGACACTCATCCACAGCCCACCTCTGGCACGTACCTGCCCGTAGCCCTTGTGCTTCCACATTTTAGAATTAACTGAGCTATGCTTCCAGCTAGGACCGACGGGGGTCCTGATGGCTTGGTGTGGGAATAGAATGGGTTTTTAAAAGCAACGACACAACTGCTCGATCCCACCAGCCACTCCCCTGGAGGCAGATGAGGCAGTCTGCTTCAATAGGGGATTGACTGACGCGGGGATGCTCGGGGGCAGTGCTCTCAGCCCTGTGCAGCAGCGGTTCTAATCCTTCCTGGAGAAGATGGCCAGAGTTTGCCTCGGGATACCGCTGGGCAGTTTATAGCCGCCAACATCATAGACAGCAAGGATTTCTTCATCTGCTCACCTGTGGCCAGAGTGAGGGACTTTTTTCTGCCAAGGGCCATTTGGGCAGTTATGACATCATTCTCAGGCCATCCTGGCCACGCACATAATGAGCTGACCCCTTTGGGGAGCCCAGGGAGCTTAGTGGGTTGGTTACATGCTGGACTTCTGTCCTGGCTAGTTTCATCTCTTTCCGAGCTCAGAAGGGACCGGTCTATAGCACACCCTGTGCTGACTCTGCCCACTGGCCGTAGCAGAAGCAACCCATTCCCCAGTGGGATTAGAACCACAGCCACAGAAGTTAGGATTTGCAACACACCATTTGGAGGGGGCACAATTCAGTCCATAAGAGTCCAAATCGAGTGGACTGTGGCGCTGGTGACAAATACTGGAAGTGCCCTGGACTTCTAAAAAGACAAGCAGATCTGTCATGGAAGAAGTAGCGGTTAGAATGCCCTTTAGAGGCAAAGACATCATCTTACATCCTTTGGCCCGTCCTTGGAGAAGGCCACCCTGCATGGTAACACACAGGGGCAGTGAGAAGGAGGGAGGCCCGTGATGAGGTGGGTGGACACCGTGGCTGCAGCAATGGGCTCAGGCACAGGAACAGTTGTGAGGTTGGCGCAGGACCGGGCGGTGTTTCCTTCTGTCGAGTACAAAGCCACTCGATGGCCCTAACCACAGCAAATCCCAAATAAGCTCTGCCCATGAACGTCCCCAGAATTTAGGATAGGGGAGCTGCCGCCAGAGAGCTGGACGGGCAGGGGCATCCAGAGAGGACGTGAGACTTCATCTGGATTCTGAGTGATGGCAGAATTTCCACGAGGGTGCCCATCCCAGGAACCGGGAAGGTGCTAGCAGAGAGCAAGACACGGATGCAAAGAGGGTGGTTAGCGGCCAATGAGGAAGGCAGCGAGACTGGACCTGCATCTTCCCACACACACAGACACAGACATACACACACACATACAGACATAGACATATACACAGACACGCACACACAAACACACAGGACCAGACATACACACATACGCACACACATGCACACACAGACACACATACATGCAGACACAGACATACACACAGACACAGACATACACACACACATGCGCACACATGCGCAGACACAGACATAGACACAGACATACACACACATGCGCAGACACAGACCTACATACGTAGACACAGGCATGCGCACATCCGCGCAGACACAGACATACATACGTAGACACAGACATACACACACATGCGCACACACGCGCAGAAACAGACATACATACGTAGACACAGACATACACACACATGCGCACACACGCGCAGAAACAGACATACATACGTAGACACAGGCATGCATACACACGCAGACACAGACAGACACACAGATATACACGCACATCCATACACACACACAGACACGTACACACACATACACAGAGACACTCATTCTCAAAGGAAGACTGTCCCTCCCCCAACAGAAGGAAAAAGAGTTTTAAATAAATCAATCCCTTCTTAATTATTCACAGATGCATTGTGCTGCAGCTTATCTCTGGCAAATCCAGCCTCCAGCTTGCTGGTGATGTCATCCTCTGAGGGACCGGGTGCTTGGTCTCTGTTTACGCTTGGAGTGGGGGAGGGATGGGAGGAGGTGTGAGCATCTGAAGGCTGACTGCCCCATCACCTTTCCCGACTGGCTGTGGGAGAGGACGGGGGTTGGGCATGGGTGGTCTTCACTAGCACCGGATGGCCGTGGTGCCAGGGCCATCTCAGACAGAGCAGTGGTCTTTCTTTCTGCGGATTGACACGATGGACCCAGAAAGGTCTGTGAGCCTCAGTGTCCACATCTGCAGCAGGAGCGGCTGGGCCACAATTGTGTTTTTGTAGGAGGGGCACCTGGGTTCGGGCTGCGCCCCGTGCTGCTGTGACAGAAACACTCCAAGCGGGTGGCTTTGAAGACCAGAAACATGTGTTCTCATTGGTCTGGAGAGTGGTGGTCCAAATCAGGGTCTTGGCCACAGTGAGTCCTACCTTGCCGGTAGCCTCTCACGGTTCCTTGGCTCCTTGGCGAGCCTCGTATGGTGCCTGTCTTCTCCTGCGCGTGTCTCTGTGTCGAAGCTGCTGTGAGAGCAAGGCAGAAGTGTTTGACTTAGAACCCGGCCTCCTGGTGGCCGGTCTGGTTACGTAACAAAGAGAGTCCTGTTTCCAAGCAGAATTACAGCTATGGGCGGAGGAGTCGGCATTCCAACACTTATTTGGGGGATGCAGAGGGGGACACCCAACTTATTCCATAACAGGGTGGGTCCCCCACTTACTCAAGGGGTTTTGGGCAGGATGCCTGCACGTCTGACCCTGCCCATGGAAGGTTGTTGGGTGCCATCTAGTCCGATCTGGCTCGTAGCAACCCTGTGCGAAGCAGAGGGAAACATCTACCAGTCCTCACAAGTGTTCTTGTGGCCAAGCCATGCTTGCAGCCAGTCAACCCATCTTGTCAAGAACCTCCCGCTTTTTTGCTGCCGCTCTGCTTTACCAAGCATGATGGGCTTCTCCGGGGCCTGGTCTCTTCCAACAACACGTCCAAAGTACAGGAGGCGAGCCATCCTCGCCCCTTAGGAGCATTCTGGTTGTCCTTCTGCCAGGACAGGTCTGTTTGTTCTTTTGGCAGTCCGTCAGTTTTGTATGTTCAGTATTCTTCCCAAGCACCATAATTTCGGCATACTGATTCTTCTTCGGTCTGTTTGAAATCACTAGTGGCCCTCCATTCAATGAGCCAAGGAGAGCAGTACTGTTCGACTTGTAAGATTGCTCCCCGGTCTGAAATTCTCTGAGTCTATAAACATTTTGCAGGAGCCCTGGTGGTGTAGTGGGTTCAGAATTGGGCTGCTAACCTCAAGGGCAGCAGTTTGAAACCGCCAGCCACTCTGAGGGAGAAAAATGAAACTTTCTACTTTCGTAAAGATTTACAGCCTCGGAAACCCGCACGGGCAGTTCTACTCTGGCCTAGAGCTGGAGGCTCAGTGAGGTTTGTTTCAATGATCATTTTGTGGCTGGGTGTGATGCACGCAGAGAATGTAGAGGAGAATTGCTGAACACGTGACTTTTTGTCAGACTCCCAGGTCCCTCTTATCTACATGTAAATCGGGGTTTGGGGGTGGCATTGACCTCAGTGGCAGAGGCAGCAGCAGCAGGTCACATCTGTTGAGCGGTCCCTATGTTCTAGAGCAGCAGTTCTCAACCCGTGGGTCGCGACCCCTCTGAGGGTTGCCCAATTCATAATAGTAGCAAAATGACAGTTTTGAAGTAGCAATGAAAATAATTTTCTGATTGGGATGGTGGGGGGTGGTGGTTACCACAACATGAGGAACTGTAGTAAAGGGTCGCAGCATTAGGAAGGTTGCCTCGGCAGACTTTCTTCACGAGTCTGATTCTCTAACCTTTCACATCCTCTGTGTCCCTAACCTGCCACCTTAGTGTCTGAGCACCGAGGTGCCCGTAATTGCATTGCTCCACCTACGTTATATTGGCAGGGTCGGTCTCGCCCAGTTCAGTGCTGAAAGGGGCCCCTGGGGGTGCCCTTCAGCAGGAGGAGCAAGAAGACACAGCTCTGGCCACACCCCCTGGTTGGTGCAGAACCTGGGGCTCTTTCTTCTTGGTCTGTGGACTTCAAAACCTGCCACTCAGAAGCTGTGACCTGGCCTTCCCCTCCAGGATCTGATTTTACCTGGCGCCCTGGAGGTGGTGTAGCCGTTTACAAGTGCTAGGTGTAAGGTCAGTGGTTCGAAACCACCAGCTGCTCCTCAGGAGCAGGATGAGGCTTCCTGCTCCCATAAAGAGTTACAGTCTTTGAAAGCCACAGGGGCAATTCTACCTGCCCTAGAGGGTCATTGTGCGTTGGCATCGATTCCACAGTAGTGAGATTTTGAGTGAGTTTGCATTTTCCCCTTGTGGGTCCTATCCTGCAATTTATGTCAGCAGCCACGGCGGAGCAGGGAGGGGCAGGTGGGCAAGGCTTTATAATCAGCTCGGTCTGATCTTTCTAAGGACAGTTCACGTGCCCACCCAGTGGGGTCCTGCAAGTCTATTCCTTGCTTTGGCAGGCCAAAGTCTCTCTCTCTTTTTGGGGGGGCGGCAATATAATTCCCTTGTAGATTGGTGTGCATGAGTGTGTGCCACCTTTCCGCGAAAGGAGAGATGAATGTGATCAAATCTCCGCCCCTGGCAAATTCTCTTGTAAAATATTCAGGCCTTGGCAAACCGAAGGACAGGGCCAATGTGGGAAAACAGGACGATGGAGCCTTGCTTTTCCGCCTGCCGCTGGTTATGTTCCACTCTCACCCATCCTTGCGCCTGCAAGGGTGGGTGAATTTCACAAAGTTCGGAGCTGGCAATCACCCACCCCCACCCCCACCCCCGCGGTCCGCTCTCAGGCTCTTTCCAGCAGGCGCTTTCCTGAAGGTGCGCCTCTGCAGGTCTTATCAAATTGCTCCGTCTTCGCACTCCATGCAGGGCAGCACTGCGTGCAGCGGGTGGGTGGCTGGGCAGTGCCAAGCACGGAATCCCCTGAGCAAGCAGTGTCTCAGCTGGCTGGACGGATCGAATAACACTTGGGCTGGTTAACAAAAGACAGGCTAGTGGGAAGGTGTTGGAAGCCAGAGTGTGGAAATTTACCCGGCGTTCTTTCATTGACAGGGAAGGAGGCTCGGTCCGGAAGATGCTCTGCTCCTGGCACCTCTCTGGGTCCGGTGGACCCCGGTCTCGCTCCAGGTGGCGTGGATGAGGGAGTGCAAGAGGAGGCAGTCCACGTCTGACCCCTCTGGAGGACCCTGACCTGGCTGCTGAGCTCCCCTGGGACAGGGACTCCCGTGCGACTTGGTGACCAGCTCCTGAACGTGATTGCTTCAGCAGCTTTCTTCACCCAGGCTTCACCAGGCTGGCTTGGCTTTCAAGATCTAAGGGCAGCTGGCAGAGGTAGCTCAAAGCCCCTAGAATACCACACCTCTGAACTGCCCGGGATGCAGAGAGCAGCTGCCCAACAGCTGGAGGCTTTGGGGCAGCTGAGCTCCGGACCATCTCAAGGTAACCGAGCACAGCTCAGCCTGCAGTGCCTGCGATTCAGACTCCTCTAACAGAGAGTTAGAAGGGGAGCATTTTCTGCATCTTTTACTGTGAGGCTACAAGAACTTTACATTCACGTAGATAATGAGCATTCCGAAGATGCGCCCGTTGAAAGCAGCATGAGCCTTTACAAGCTTCCAGGAGCCTTTGGGGTATGTAGGAGGTGCTGTACAGTCATCCCCTGGGGAGCTAAAGGGAGACTCTGAGCCTCCGGTGCCTGCAGCTCAGCAAGCATGGACACACACCCTTCCTGTCCCCAGACAGCTGGTGGCAGTGACATGTCCAGCAGGAATAGGGTTCCTCTGCTTGGGGACTTGACAGAATGAGGTGTGCTGGGCAAGCCACCAGCCGGGACCTGGCCTCCCCCAACTGCTCCTTCACTGAGCACACAGCCCGGCACCAGTGAGCCAACGATGGCCGGTAAGGACGACTGCATTGCCAGCGTCTACGGATACGACCTTGGCGGGCGTTTCGTGGACTTCCAGCCCCTGGGCTTCGGCGCGAACGGGCTGGTGCTGTCGGCCATGGACAACAGGACCTGCCAGAAGGTGGCCGTGAAGAAGATCACCCTGAGTGACGCCCGCAGCATGAAGCACGCGCTCCGGGAGATCAAGATCATCCGGCGCCTGGACCATGACAACATCGTGAAGGTTCACGAGGTGCTGGGGCCCCGGGGCGCCGACCTGCAGGGCGAGCTCTTCAAGTTCAGCGTGGCCTACCTCATCCAGGAATCCATGGAGACAGACCTGGCCCGGCTGCTGGAGCAGGGCACGCTGAGCCAGGAGCACGCCAAGCTGTTCATGTACCAGCTGCTGCGTGGCCTCAAGTACATCCACTCGGCCAACGTGCTGCACCGGGACCTCAAGCCCGCCAACATCTTCATCAGCACCGAAGACCTTGTGCTCAAGATTGGCGATTTTGGCTTGGCCAGGATCGTCGACCAGCATTATTCACACAAGGTGGGTCTTGTTGGAGCGCCCACCCCCACCCCACCCACGCCGGGGTGTTCTGTGGAACCCCAGGAGGTCCACGGTGTTCCCAGAGGAACCGGGAGCGGGGCGGGGGCATCAGGTCAGTCTATGGGGGAGACTGCAAGAAGGTAGAAACGTCACTGGCCCGCAAAGTTGTTGTGTTGGGGGGGTGGGAATCCAGTCTTGGTCTTGGCTCAGCCACCGGCCACAGTCAATAACTGCGGCTCTTCAAAGAAGGGGGTGGGCCAAATGACCACTAAGATCTCTTCCAGCTCCCACACTCTGTGGCTTTAACCTGTAGTCATTGGTGGCTATGCTTCTAGCTACTGCTGCCCTTTCCTTTCTCCTTCCTCTTTCTCCCCCTCCTCTTCCTCTTTTCCTCCTCTTCCTCCTCCTACTCCTTTCTTCCTCTCTCTCTCTCTTTCTCCACCCTCTGTCTCTCTCTCCACTCTCTCTCTGTGTCTCTGTCTGTCTGTCTGTCTGTCTCTCCCTCCTCTCACTGTCCTCCTAACTCCCTCATCACTGCCCTCTGCTCGGGGCTCCCCATGAGGCATCTTGCCATCAGAGCAGACTTTCATACCCCGTCCTCTCTCCTCCGCTCCTCGGTGCATCCCCGTTCAGGTCTCATTCTCAGTGGTGGGCACAGCGTTTAACCCAGTAGTCCTCACTGTGCATTTTCTAGCGGGGGGGCTCTGATCCCAGGATGCCCTCACCCCTCACAGTGGCACCAACATGACAGTTATTGGGGTGGTACTGCTGTAGCCTGACCTGGGGGGCTGCAAGCTCCACTTGCCACAGTGCCACTGGGCACTGATGTTTACCTGCAGGGCCCCATCCCTTCCCACCTGGCCGACTGACGGTTGCCTTCTTCCCCAGACCTTCCCTGCTGGGGAATAGGTGCCTGGCAAACTGCTATTGGGCAAGGGGCTGGAGAAGGGGCCTGGGGCCCTGACCATGAATGCTCTTCAGCTATCCCTCGAAGCGCCACTTGTCCACGTTCTCCGTGCTGGCTGCTGAAGGTCACGGCACATGGAAAGGTACTGATCCTGCTGGGCAGCTGCTCCAGGTGGGCACCTGGGAAAGCAAGGGGTGAGGCTCCTGGCTCCAGCCTAGCTATCTGTGGCTTCTTGTGCCACACGCCTCAGCCACCTGGACCCCGAGCTTGCCCTCTGCTCCTTGTCCTAGGGCCAGGCCAGCTGTCAAAACTGGCAGCCAGGTGACTGTGTCAGCAAGCCTGTGCATGGTGAAAAAGCAGTGCCCACCTACCCACCCCCGGTCCCCCTGATGCCCCATGTGCTTCTACCTTCTCTCCCTCCCAAGGACCAGTGGACCAGGGATCTAGGATGGTCTTAGTCCCAGGATGTACGCAGCCCCACTTCAGGGTGGGAATGAACTAAGCCAGTGCATTTCGGGCGTAACAACAGGACCTCCTCCGCCGCCGGGTGGGAGTGGATGACAAGGTGGGCTTGGTACCAGGCCTTCAGTAAAGTCTGCGAAGACTGGCAGAGCTCCAGGACTTTCTTCTGCCGTACCACTCCCTGACCTAGGCAGAGTCTGCCCCTTAGGTAGCTCATCTGGGAAAGGACATGCCTCCCTCATCTCCTTCACTTCATAGATGACGGAATGGCGGTGAGGAGTGGGCCTAGCATGGGACGAGAGCTGCCTAAGCACCCACCACCATGAGTGGCAGAGGGAGGAGGACAGACAGCGCTCGGGGTTTGACTCCATGTCCACCATTGCCGTCTGCGTCTCCACTGACCGGCCTGCCTGGGCGTGGCTGTCCCCTCCTGTTTATTCAGAGTGTCACCTGCAAGTCCTCACTATTCAAAGGCCCTCCGCTCCAGCAGGAGGGAAGCGCTCACAGGTGCTGGGGCAACCCCAGGGAGGCCTCCAGCGTGAGGGGGCCAGTTTCAGACACGATGGAGGCTTCCCCACCCCCAGGGCAGGGCAGCGTGGTCGGTCGGTGGCCCTGTGCCAAGTCCAACCCACCCTCCGCCACTCCAGGCCCAGGCCCCTAATGAGCCCCTTGCTGCTGGAGGCTCAGAAAAGACGGCTGCTGGAGATCAGAGCGTGTTTCCTCTGGAACTGATCTTATTACGCGCCAGAAAGAGCTCAGGAAAGGAGGGCTAGTCTGTTTAAGACTTGCCGAGCCCTGTGTAAATTCTAAGAAACACCGGAATCCCTGGGGAGTTTACAGAGGCCTGTGAGGCTCACAGACAGACTGACAATCTGATGGAAGGGGTG